CCCGCTGCGCCCGATCCCGTCTCCGGTCTTGATTCCTCCCCCCCACCACCCTGCTCCTTTCCCCCGCGCGACTCCCCCTGCTCCCCTTCCCGCGTGCGATCCACTTTCCCGGCTCCCGCACCTCACCCCGCTCCACCCCACCTGGCGCGCACGTGCGCGCGCACTCCTTCCTCCCGACACTTCTCTCCCCTAATCCCCCCAACTCCCTCCTCGACTTTCCCCGATTTCCCCTGATACCCCCCAACTCCGATCTTTCCCCCAATTCCGATCTTTCCCCCAATTCCGATCTTTCCCCCAATTCCGATCTTTCCCGATTTTCCCCCCCAAGGGCCTCTCTTCCCGCTCGCTCCTCTTCCTCCTGCGTGCACGTGCGTCTCTACCCGACCCCGATTACCCCCGCCTCAGCGCACGTGCACGCCGGGACCTTGGCGGAGGGGCACACCTGCTAGAAGATACCGCAAGTGTCCTATGAGGAGCCCAACGAGAACGACCATCATCATCATCATCATCATCGTCAGTGAATTGTGACAGACTGGCCATCATCATCATCTTCATCAGCGTCATCATCAGGATCGCCATCGTCCTCGTCATTGCTGCCACTACTGCCTACGCCATCACCGCATTGGATCGTCATCATCAGTGTGTGCACTCAATCCAGCGACCTCGTCGTTCCACCGGGGGAACGATCGAGAAGACCCTTTAGGGGTTCATTGAAGACCTTCCTCGACTAGGAGGAAGGACCTTGATTGCTCCCGGCCAACCGGGAGCGCGGTATTGTCATTCTCTTCCCTATTACTAATTCCCCCTCTCCCTCCCGCCGATCTCCCGCAAAGATCTTATCTTTTTCTTCTTCTTTTATCTCCTCTCCATTCCCCCTTTTCTCCTCTCCCATCCCACCTAATTCGTCGCATCATCTAAAATTCCTAATGCGCGGGACACGTATCTCCCCTTTTGTGCTTCTATGACAATGCCATCTATCCTATCGTCCGGATTTCATATCTAATTCGATAATATTAATCTTCCTCTTTGTTTCTCCCAACGCCGTGATCGAAATTAAATTCGGCAGTTTTGTTCAAAAGTTATGCAAATTTCTATAGTTTCTTGATTCGTTTTGTTATTTAATTTCAAAAATTCAATTTCATTTCAGAAATTTGTGAAATAAATTTCAGAATTTACTACAAAGAATTCTTCCAATGCCGAATTTCCTTCTATTTTCTATCTCCCGTAAAATTCCGAAATTCTTCCGTTGTTTTTGAAATTCTTTCAAAATTTCTTTGAAATTCATTTTAATCTTGTAACAAGTCAAGAAATTTTATTCATTTGATTTATACACCCTTGGAATTTCTCTCAACTTACTTTATGTGATTATCACTAATTCTTCCTGAAATTTCATCGTAAATTCCTATTTTAGGAATTAGTTTCCTACTTTCATTTCAAAATGTCTTCGGAATTCTTTTAATTTTGAAAATACGTTAAGTAATTTTTCATTTTATTCTAAAATTTTCCTATCAACTCATCTCTACATCTTTCATCACCTCCTCGAATTTTCGAAAATTTTACGAATGTTTTTTAAATTCCTTGAATTTTACTTCAGTTTCTTCTAAATTCCGAAATTACGTCCAAATATTTTCGGAATTTTATTTTGAATTCGTGATTGTTTTATGCTTGCTCCTATCTAGACTCCACACTATTCTTTGAAAATTTTCTCTCATTTCCTTCCCCGAATTGGAAATTTTCCTCTTTTCCCCTCACCCCGACTTTAAATTTTCTTGATTTAACTTTGGAAGTTCGTCAGACTTCATTCATACTCAACTTCCTCTTGCAGTCCCTTACTCCTCTTTCTACGTACCAACCTGGCTTTCCGCGATATCCATCAGCGCGCACTCCAAAATCGCGACCGAGACGCTCGTGCCGCAAACCGCCTCGCTCGCTTTGACGCATCGATTGCTGCCACTGAGCGTTCCCCCCGCCCCAGTTCCCCCTCCTCATCTTCTGCATCCCCTGACTCTATGCAGAGTACTGAGCTAGCGAGTCCCTCCCGCTCCATCAGTGAAGGCCTTGCGTTTCTAGCTCGTGACACCATGTCTGACCCGACAGAGATTTCCAGCCTTGCGCCCGCCAGTTCGGGCCCCACCACCCAGTCAGACCCGGTACTGGCCCTCCTCTAGCAGATGCAGGCCGAAATCACGGCCCTCCATACCGACCTTTCATCCCTGTCGGACCGTGTGTCACATCTGGAGCCCCGTCCCAGTGCATCCTCCCCCCCACCCCCCTCATCTGCATCTTTGCCAGCTTCCTCTCCTTCTTCGGCAGGCGTCATCTACACACTTGCTTCTTCCACTGGCTGTATGTCCTTATCCCATTCCCACCCTTCCTCTGCAGCCATCT